GTTACCAACATCTGGTGAAAATTTCATGTCATTAGCACCTCTAGTAATATATTTACTGAGAAAAATGGTGACGTGTTCAATACTTATTTTACCCGCTGTACAAACTTATCTGCACATATTTCTTGTGCTGAAAAGCACGTGAGTAAATAAAAAACATCTGATCAAATAGGACTATATTAAGATATTATTCCTTATCCATTTTTTGATAGATTATACTAATAGTAAAATTGAATAAATTTTACAAAGCTGGACACAAGTCACAAAGAGGACCAGATGTGGTATGAGCCAAAAAAATCACAAATGAAGATGAAGTGTAGACAGACTAATGACAAGGCTGCAGCTGAGACCACACGGACAGGAGAACAGGTGAATGGTGGCTATGGTGAGTGGGGATGGATAAAGAATCCATATGAGCGGAGGCCCCGTAAGTGGACCCATTGCTCTCCCCAAAAAGACACTGGTCTTTATTCAAACCTTCTCGTCCCTCGGATGAAGGATACAAGGTTGGAAACACTCAGTGTTCTGAGCCTCTCAGGATCAATAAAAGGGTCCCCAAGAATTCTTTTCTTTGACTGCTCAGAGCCAGGCAGTGGCCTAAGCAATGCAAAGAGGTCTCAAATTTAAAGCCACAGGCATCACACAGACCATTGTCATGGAGTCCCATCACTGTTTTGTGGTGATTGAGCAGATTGTGCCCAGTTAGGACTCCAAGCAGTGTACTTAAAGTTTTTCTTTTCAGGGCGATGAGAGCTTTCCCAAACCTTAGATTTGGGCCGTCTATAAGTTCTTGTGCCTGTCTACAGTCCGTCAGCTCCCTCCAGAGGATTGAGTGTTAACATCTAATCCAGGCCAGTCCTACAGACTGTTGTTGAGATACCTACAACAGGATCGGGTCCTATGAAGTGAGCCTGACTGCCAGCTTTTGCAAGGTAGTCAGCTCTCTTGTTACTATAAATGACAGTATGTCCTGGTACCCATTAAACCAGAGGCGATTGCTCTAAGACTGCAAGGGAAGCTCAGCTTCCCCTAAAATGTCAAAAAAGTGATGAAATATGTACTGTTATGTGTAGATGTCATTAACTAAATATGTGCTACAACGCGCTCAACTTTTGTTCTGAATCACTTCTTATCACTGGTAATGACGCAACTTTCCTCTCACTCATTCCCGCAGCTTCACGGTGCTTTAAACAGTCAGACGCTGAGCGTCCACAGAGATCATTGGGGATGCAAAGAGTGCAGTGAAACGAGATGAGTCAATGGATAAATGCTGACTTTGTCCCGCCCGTTGGATGCTCAGCGTCTCTGGGGGTCTATGGGGCAGTAGGCTGGCTCAGACGCTCAGCTTCTGCATGATGATTGGATGATCTGTCTGAGGCTGAATCCCTTTTTGGTTGACAGCGAAATGAGCAAATCAGCAATCTTTTGGTGTAAACATGCCGTGGGAATATTTTTTACTTTAATTTCCATTCTGTGTTGAACCGGAGATTTTATTAATCCTTTTAGCAGCATTTTCTTTGTTAAAAACGACTAGTGACTAATCGAGCTTCTATTTCTAGTGGTTGTTTTGTAGCTGCTTGTGTTTGGAGACTGACTTCTATCACTCTTTCTGACTTCTATCGCAGTTTCTGTCCAGCGGGAGCTGCTGAGCCCCTCCACCCCTCATCCTCGTAAAGGAACGGAGGGTAGAATTTACATATAAATAAACCAATACATTTTATGATATAGGCCGAAATTGAGCTTCACCTCTTTGAAAGATCAGCATCTGCCACTGCATTTAACAGTAACACTGTTGTCTCTCACCAGTTGGTTGACTGCTTCGGCACACTTCCAAGACAGTAATGACGTAAACAGGTGTATGTGGGTGTGGCAGGCCTCTGTCAGAAAGGAGGTTGCTGGTTGTTTGTTTTTTTCAGTGGGATGTGCAGTTAGACCAAAGAGTGTCATGTCACAAAATGTCATCGTCATGTCATCAACTTGGTCACAAAATGCCTGGAAAGGCTAATTATGGTTCACATATAAAGCACCATTGAACTCACTGGGGAACCACAACAGTATGCATACTGCAAGAACTGATCCATGGAGGACGACATCTTCGCTGGGGTCCACACTACTCTCACCCACCTGGAGATGAAGGAGTCCACCGTCTCTATGGTCTTTGTGGATCTCACCTTTGCATTTAACGCTATTATCCCCCAGACCACAATTTACAAACAGCAGTCACTTGGACCAACAGGGTCAGTAGTCTGCGTTATAGAAGCAGTGTTTAACTCAAGGGTGGGAAATCCTGTCGTCATGCATGTTTTACTTGTTCCTTAAGCTGTCGTCATGCATGTTTTACTTGTTCCTTTGCTTCAACACACCTAATTAAATGATTAAATTCCCTTCTGAAGATCTGCCTAAGCTTGGTAATCATCCATTGATTCAAATCAGGTGTGTTGGAAAAGAAAAACCTCTAAATCATGCAGAATAGCAGCCCTCGAAGACCAGGACTGCTCACACCTGAGCTACAGGTACCTGGGCATGCACCTGAATAACAACCTCACCTAGAGCAACAACACTTCCAGTACGGTCAGTAAGGCACCCCAGCAGCTCTACTCTTAAAGGGATCCCCGATAAGTTGTAACATTAGACTTTATATGATAAACATATACTTTAACTGTAAAATTAAGACTGTAAGAATACTGTAGGCTGTTCAGTTTTTATCATTTTTAAACTAAAAATTTAAAAGTATATTACACGGACGGTGCCATTTTATTTACATGCAAAGCATTCTGGGTAAATGATGACATCAATTAGGTCATCGGTGCGAGGCTGCTAGCGAGCTATATCCACCCTGAAGGTTAATCTTGGACAATATCTGATGATTGACTCTTTTAAATGAAACCAGAGAGCGTTGACAGAGAGGAGAAGGTAGAAATGACTCTGTTAGCCTTTGCGCTATCGCCAATGCTATATTGCCTTATATGTATTAGTTCAGTGCTAGCACGACAAACAAGCTAAACTGAGATCATCCATCCATATTTTCAGTTACAGCTGAGTCATTTCTACCTTCTCCTCTCTGTCAACGCTCTCTGGTTTCATTTAAAAGAGTCAATCATCAGATATTGTCCAAGATTAACCTTCAGGGTGGATATAGCTCGCTAGCAGCCTCGCACCGATGATCTACTTGATGTCATCATTTACCCAGAATGCTTTTTTGTGTTAATAAAATGGCCCCGTCC